ACCTTGTCGATGTTATCAAAACTGTAAGTTTTTTTTATTTTCTCTAGTATTATGTACTCTTCAGTATTGTAGTATATATGGACATATTTCTATTTAAATTTTTTGTTTTTTATTTTCTGACTTCATGACGACAAAAACATCGACACATTAGCAAAAAAAGTGTCTAACCAACTTCTTATACGTTGAATTTTGACCTTCACGCAGCAATGATATCTAAATTTATCATCTTAAGTTCATCTTATTATAAGAACATTTAAGAAGAAACGTTTGACTTCTTTCTTTAATTCAACTTTGAATTTCGTGCAACATACGAGGTTGTTTAGTTAAATGAATAAATAAAATTTGAGTTTTTCTATTGATCAGAGGAAACGTTCCGCCACGATTGACTTTTTTTAAGACTGAAGAAGCCGCTCATGGCTAAACGTTTTCTCTCATAAATGTTCTGAACTGTCCTTTTTCCACATCTTGTCGATATCGCCATACCATTTTTAAGTTTTTCCATTGTTTATCTTATGTCGTCAATATATCATCATATACTCCCAGAGTATACGAAATTTTCTGTAAAGACTCCACAAATTGGCAGTAAAGTCCGAACATGAATTACTGAACACGAAAGATTTTTGCAGACACGTATCATTTTATATCAAAACATTCTATAACATTATTCAGTGAGAATTCTGTAACATCACTTTCAGGATTTTCTTCACAATTGTCAGTATTACGCTATTTAGACTAACTTAGACTTGTAATATAAGCTTGATGATCCAACCCGTCCAACACAGTTTTCAGAGAACAAGGATAGAAAGAGCAGTAATCAGCGTTGTTTTGATAAAAAGTAATTCCAGTTAAGTCCTCTGTTTGTGTAAGATTTCAACCACGAGTGGACTTTGTCTAGCAATTAATATACATGAGATACACACAAACACACACACACACATACACACACGCACACACACACACACACACACACACACACACACACACACACACACACACACACACACACACACACACACACACACACACATACACACACACACACAAGAAACGACCAAGAGGTATGTCAGGAGTTCAACACAAGATTTAAAGAGGTATTTACAGTGGAAACCAGTAGGACTCCAGGAAATCAGAACAGGGGGGCACACCAGCAAGTGCTGGATGAGGTACATATAACCAAGGAGGAGGTGAAGAAGCTGCTATGGCGAACTTGACACCTCAAAGGCGGTGGACCAGACACATCTCTCCATGGGTCCTTAAATAGGAGCAGAGATATTGTGTGAGCCATTAACAAAGATCTTCAACACATCATTTGAAACTGGGCAACTCCCTGAGGTATGGAAAATGGCAAATGTAGTCCCAATTTTTAAAAAGGGAGACAGACATGAGGCACTAAACTACAGACCTGTATCACTAACGTGTATAGTATGCAAGGTCATGGAGAAGATCATCAGGAGGAGAGTGGTGGGGCACCTGGAAAGAAAAAGTGTATAATTGACAACCAGCACGGTTTCAGGGAAGGAAAATCCTGTGTCACAAACCTACTAGAGTTTTATGACAAGGTGACAGAAGTAAGACAGGAGAGAGGGGGGTGGATCGACTGCATATTTTTGGACTGCAAGAAGGCCTTCGACACAGTTCCTCACAAGAGGTTACTGCAAAAGCTAGAGGATCAGGCACACATAACAGGAAAGGCACTGCAATGGATCAAAGAATATCTGACAGGGAGGCAACAACGAGTCATGGTACGCGACGAGGTGTCAGAGTGGGCGCCTGTGACAAGCGGGGTTCCACAGGGGTCAGTCCTAGGACCTGTGCTGTTCTTGGTATATGTGAACGACATAACGGAAGGGATAGACTTAGAAGTGTCCTTGTTTGCAGATGATGCGAAGTTAATGAGAAGAATCAAATCGGATGAGGATCAGGCAGGACTACAAAGAGACTTGGACAGGCTACAAGCCTGGTCCAGCAACTGGCTCCTTGAATTTAACCCTGCCAAATGCAAAGTCATGAAGATTGGGGAAGGGCAAAGAAGACCGCAAACACAATATTAGTTTAGATGCCAAAGACTGCAAACCTTACTCAAGGAAAAAGATCTGGGGGTGAGCATAACACCGAGCATATCTCCTGAGGCGCACATCAATCAGATAACTGCTGCAGCATACGGGCGCTGGCAAACCTACGGATAGCGCTCCGATACCTCAGTAAGATTCGTTTAAGACTCTGTAAACTATTTACGTCAGGCCCATACTGGAGTATGCAGCACAGTTTTGGAATCCACACCTAGTCAAGCACGTCAAGAAATTAGAGAAAGTGCAAAGGGTTTGCAACAAGACTAGTCCCAGAGCTACGGGGATTGTCCTACAAGAAAGGTTGAGGGAAAATCGGCCTGACGACACTGGAGGACAGGAGGGTCAGGGAGACATGATAACGACATATAAAATACTGCGCGGAATAGACAAGGTGGACAAAGACGGGATGTTCCAGAGAAGGGACACAGACACAAGAGGTCACAATTGGAAGTTGAAGACTCAGATGAATCAAAGGGATGTTAGGAAGTATTTCTTCAGTCATAGAGTAGTCAGGCCGTGGAATAGCCTAGAAAGTGAAGTAGTGGAGGCAGGAACCATACATAGTTTTAAGGCGAGGTATGATAAAGCTCATGGAGCAGGGAGAGAGAGGACCTAGTAGCAATCAGTGAAGAGGCGGGGCCAGGAGCTATGACTCGACCCCTGTAACCACAAATAGGTGAGAACAAATAGGTGAGTACACACACACACACATTAATTAATGAAAAAGTTCGGTGAAAAAATGAGTTATTTCAGTTAAATTTCACGCGAGGTACTGCAGGAGGCCTACGATCCCACCGTATAACGCTAGTGTTCCTAAACAGTGAGGATTTGTGAAATACCAAATTGAACATCCATTTGTTTTATTTGACGGTACTTTTTTAATTTTTTTTGTGGATGATTCCTGGTATCTGCGTTTAATTAACCTTGTCATTCTCTTGGAGGAGTGGCATGGCTTTATTCTACGCTAATAGGAATGGGTGAAAATTGCAGATTTGAACACATGCATTGTTGATGTTTTCTATAACTGGAGGCATGTTAGTAGACGATTAGGCAAAATTAGCTCTCTTCTTATGTTGATTTGATAATATCTTCTACAGGAAATACAGTGAGCCCTTATATCATTGGTCCGGTAGTTTTATCAGCCCAATATTCACAGTAATCCTGGAGATGGTGACAGATAAAGTCACAGGTTGGCGAAAATTCTCCCCAGCAACATCTTGGAATCTTAGTACAAAGATTTCTGCAACGCTTTGCTTGATTATTCTACTGACATGACCTACTTCCAGTAGTGGTCTTCCTCACCTCTGTTGTCTTTCGCCTGCGTCACCTCTACTGTTTCAGGTACATAAGCCTACATCCTCGGACATCTGCTTCAGGAGTCATCAACAGTGTTGAAGTGAACACTTCCTAATAAGTCCGAGGGGACAGATCTACTCAATATTTTTCTTAAAGTCTTCCACCGTCTGCAACCGATTCACCAAACATAAGAGACTGACCACTGACCACCCCAAAGAATTTTTCTTTGTTTTCTTCCGTCTCCAGAATTATTCTTTGTAATAGGCTGATAATGCCACTGGTTGGCAAAATATCTCCAGAATAAAGATACCCAAGGGTTGTACATGTCTTGTTTAACGCTCCAGATACAAGGTGGCAAGTGCAGAACTCGGAGGTGATGCCACCGCAGACTGAACTTCTACTTGTAGTTAACATTTCAAGAGGAGGAAAAAATAAGTTTAGTGAAGTTCGAAGTAGATCGTGATAAGTTCAGGTAGCTGGTGTCAAGGTTCCGAAGGAGCCATTTTACCTATCTCCCTCCTTACATAAAAATTTGGAGTACATTTGCTGTCTTCCGGTAGCTAGCCTGTGTCGATAGACTTGCTGAAGATTGTTGCTAGAGGCACGCACAGTGCCTCAGCTCGCTCTCTCAGGACTCTCGGAGAGATATCATGTCCCACCAGGTTCTTTCAGTTGTGTATTGTGTCCAACGTTAGCTGGTGCACCCTACTCAATCGGTTTCCTAGAAGCCTTTCTGTCCCTTCTAAGAATTCCTCCCTAAATCTATTGCTGAACTCCTCGCAGACTTGTGAGTTTCTGCCCTTCTTTCCTCAGCCTGATTACCTGGCACCTTTCTGTTTTCTTCCTGATGTGGCTATATAACAGCTATGGGTAACATCTGGCTGTCGTTGCTATGTCTTTCTCACACTGTCGTTGAGCCTCTCACATTATCCATGCATGCTCGTTTCTGGTTCTTCGACTCTGCTTATTTTTTCTAAGTTCTATACCTTTTATACTTTTTCTTTGCTCTAGCACATTTAGGTTTGGCCTCTGCACTTTTGGGTAAACCATGGACTCAGTCATTTCTTCCCATTATTTCTCTTGCTCCTGGGTAAGAATTTCTCCTCTGCTTCCATTCTTTGCTTCTTTTGGTGTAGCCAAAATGCCTGAGGCTAATGCCTAATGGCCGTTTGTGTCATTATTTTCTTTTCCTGTTGACTTACTAAACAGCATTATTATTGCGTTAACACCATATCTATCCGGATATTCGCACTTATTTCCTGATTTGTTGTCACATTACGTTCTGTAAATGTTAGTGTATTTGTGATTCACTTCTGGAACACAAGATGCCTTAGGAGCTTGGCCTGGCTGCCCCTCACTGACTTATAGCAAAACTCGGCACTTTCACATTAACTTATGAAATATTGGGCCTCACCTCACTGTTCAGTCCATGAGTTCCTTGTTACACGCTATTATTATTCACTGACTCTGTCCCGCATACTGAATGTTGACAATTTCCTAGGATAGACCACTAACACTAAATCAGGAGCGCTTCTGTTAGTTGTTACTACCGCGTATTGCTGTCTGTGTGTGTATGAGTTTGAGTGTTTAAATTCATTAAACTAATGTTACTTAAGCTCTTGTCTTTCCCTACAGTGTTGGTGGTAATGAGCGACGAGCAGGAGTATCGCCTCACACGCTACCTCATGGCTAACTACGACGCCTCGGTGCGGCCAGCTAGAAACTCCTCAGAGGCACTTTCCGTCGTGTTCGGCCTCTCCCTTCACAGCATCATCGACGTGGTCAGTGTCGAGCCAAGAGGCAAAGATTACTAACCATTAAAGGGTTTCTCACTTTGAACTTCATTTTTGTTAGATGCAGTCCGATAAAATATATGAATATTCGTCTTAACTTTTTAAACGTCTCTTTTTCTCTCTACAATCTACCTTTTACATTATTCTATTTTAACACAGTTCTATTCTCCCAACTCTTGCCATCCCTCAGAAGCTATGTAAATATAAACATAAATGTATATAGACAGGGATGCGTGATGTCACCTTGGTTGTTTAATATAGTTATAGATGGAGAAGTAAGAGAAGTGAATGCTCAGGTGTTGGGGAGAGGTTTGGTTTTGGAAGATAAAGAATCTAACACAAACTTGGAGTTGTCACAGTTGCTCTTTGCAGATGGCACTGCTTTTGGGAGATTGTGAAGAGAAGTTGCAGAGATGGATGGAAAGTTTTGGTAGGGTATGTAAAAGAAGAAAATTAAAAGTGAAAGAAAGACAAATGAGAAGAGAGTAACAAAAATTTAGGCAAAGAAAGATTGGATATCGAACTGGATGGAGAAGGTGAATTATTCAGATATTTGGGAGTGGACTTGTTAGCAGATGAGCCTGTGAAAGACGAGGTGAACCGCAGAATTGACGAGGGGAAAAATAAGTGAGTGGTGCATTGAGACATCTGTGGAGACAAAGAACGTTATCCATAGAGGAAAAGAGGGGAAATTATGAGAATATATTGGTACCAACACTCTTATATGTGTAAGAAGCATGGGTGGTGAATGCTGCAGGAAGTTGATAGCTGGAGGCTGCGAAGATATCGTGTCTGAGAGCAATGTGTGGTGTGAATATTACACAGAGAATCCGTAACTTGGAGATTAGGAGGTGCGTGGTTACTAAAAGTATTATTCAGAAGGCTGAGGAAGGGTTGTTGAGGTGGTTCTATCCAAATTTCAAGAACACTGAGCTACGCCCCAGTGTTTCCCCAGGTTGGACATCTATTTAGGCAAATTGTACACAGACATGAGGAGATAGTCTTTGAGCATCCTCCCTGCCAACATTAGGGACTTCATTATCTATGTTGATGAGCTCACATACTGTTTTGTATACACTCTTTGTCGCCGTTGTAGAGCCATTTGTATTTGAAAGAAATCAAGATTTTTTTTTTCTAAAACTTGTGGCTACAGGCTTCTGTTCAGTGTCCTGGGGAGGGTGTGTGCTTTTCTAAAAGTTTACATACCCAGTTCATTGATGATGTCTTTTTAATTAACTCTAAATGAACTGCTTCATTTATACTTAAACCATTGTACTACCGCACTTTAACGTACAATGTATTGAACTCAATGGCAGCGAGCAGAGCCAATCAACTTCCTAATTAAAAATGAAAGCTCCTTTCTACTTCAACAAAAATAATTATTGGTGACTTCAATCATTATCTTATAAAGAGTGATTTTGATGAACTTATCTGGTTTCACTCACTATCCAGTAGTGAGTGATCTGTCTGAAAACCCTTCAGTTATGGCGGCTAATCTGACCACAGACGATGATAAAGAATCTAAGGTGTCAAAGGAACGTGGTAAAGAATCAACTTACACAAATTGGTTTGGCAAAAAAGGAAACTGGCCGGAACTTTTGATTGTAATACTCTTCTCTAACGTGATATTAGTAACCAAATGAACGCCTTCAACAACAACATTTTTAATCTATAACACAAGTACATCCCTCATAGCGGCATGTAACAAAGGCATCAGATCACTTTTGGTTTGCTTTTAGTTGCCGAGAGGCCGTTACTGCCAAGTACAAGGCTTGGAGAAAATCCACTAGGAATTCCATATCTCATGAATGGAACTTATACAAATAAGACTATTGGCGATTTTAGTAAGTCCCATAGCAGGCTATTTCTATGAGGTGCCTTCGAACGATTGCATTAGCACTGCACTACACCTTATCAGAGATTACCTTCACGGTAGATTTCTAAGAATAATTCTTAATGGCAGAGGATGTGCAAGACACTTAGTGCCGGTTTTTGACTAGGAAGTGTACTTGGTTCATTGGTAAATAATATATATTTCTGTGACCTTTCTCCAGGCTCCCATGCCTGAGCAAATGATTGTACTCTAATACTGAAATACCTGCTGTACTCAGGCACATCCGTCTCCGGCATTCAACTATTTCTACTGGGGAAAATGATGACAGGTTACATTTGCTTTTGAAAATAACACAAACGGTGATTGTTTCAAGGCGGCGTGATGTTAATACTAAAAGCGTGAAGTGTATATCTTAGGGGTGAAATCTGGGTGAAATCTGTCTACAAATGTCTATGAAGAATCTCGTGGTAAATCTTGCAAGTAAAGCAACAAAACAGAGAACAGCACTAAGGTGTATCTTTTTCCTTCTAAGGAGAAGAACACGTATGAGGTACTAGTACGCTCGCACCCTGAGAACGCACCACTTTCTTAGACTGTGTGATGTCGTCTCATCTATGACTAATAAAGTTCTCTCTCAACTTTGTTTGACCTCGATGCGTTTCTCACTTTTGCGAAGCCTTCAGCACCAGAGATAGTATATGGTTAGCCTTACTGTTATGTACAATTCAGTTCAATTCAATTCAATTCAAGTTTATTCTCCATAAGGGTTACATTGTGTGGTTTACATGTTATAAAATACTAATTACAGAGGGGGCCACTAGGACACCTAGCATGGTTAGGCATTTCGGGCAGACTTAGATTAATTCTTAACATTAAATCCTTACAGATTATGGTATTAAGGCTAAGTGACTATATCATAATTTGTGAGTTTAGCAAGGCTAATATTCTCAAGGTATTAATTACACTTGGCTCGTCTTCAGATAATATAAAGTTTCTGTACTAAATCATGGGAAGCAAATAGGAGCTACACTTTGACTGTTCCTTTCTGAAGAAAGTCACATCACCTGAGATCATTCATTCCTAGAATAACTCAACTCGGGAACATGTTCAAATTGTCTTAGGTTAGTAACAGCTCATTGGTTTTAAAACTCATTTGTTTTAAAACCACTTGGTTTTAAAACCCCTTGTGTAAGAGAGAGAGAGAGAGAGGAGAGAGAGAGAGAGAGAGAGAGAGAGAGAGAAAGAAAGAAAAAGAAAGAGTGTGTACGTGTACATGTTAAAAGCATATAACAGAGAACTAGCAAGCTTACATCTGCTAAGAAGAAGTATCTTTTTCAGCCTTGATTTAAGTCTGTCGTGTATTATCTAGGTATATGAAGTTCCATTTGCCTGTATTTTTATCTGCTACATCTTATCGATTTATGGAAAGACTTACACTACTTAAAGATTCTTTTAGAATTTGTCCGAGAAGTATAAGTGAAGCATACAATGAATTATACTAAGTCACCGAGGTGGTCTTACATGCCATCGTATGGATCATAGAGAAGCACATGTTCTCACTCTCTATCCTTCTTCATCTTCGGACATGACCGCGTAATAACTGGAAGAAATAAGCAATTCTATATTGGAAAAATTGCATGGAATTTACAGGCGAAATGGAAGTGGACGGAAGACGTGGCCTGCAATTACCTCATGTCATTCCACTCCCGCTCAGAAAATAGGTACCAGTGGTTCAAGTTCTCGTTACCACCAGTTCTGCTGTGACTGTCGCAACCCTCTACTTTTGCCCCTAATACTAGTATTGGTTCTTTGCCTCATTGTTAGCTGATATTCCTGGTGCAGTCGCTGAACACAAGTCAGGAATGTACTGACTTCAGATTGACTAATGTTGTTAAAATATTGGACCGTCTGCCTGGGTTTTGCGTGGAATTTATGAGTGGTTGCAGGAGGTAGCAAGTGTACTACACAGCATCACAATTCTGTTCTCCCTCATCATTCCCTATACTTTCCTGGTCATTATTATTATAATTACTTTTTTCTACATATAAAACAATTTGGGCTGACCCAGCAGTATTTATTAATAGATTTATACAGCGCATGTAGGTACTGAAAGTTCTGCAAACACTTCCTACGATATATCTAGTTGAATCCAATACTTGTAAAGGGCTTCACCAGCTGGTTGTTAAATGACTGTATTGTCGTTGGTCTTACAGCAGTAGATCGTAATTCTTTCCATTCTGCTATAATTTTGTTAGAAAAGAAATCTTTGTACATGTTCGTGATGCATTTTCTGTCTCGCAGATTAATTCCATTTTTTTCGGGTTAGAATCTCTTTCAGTACAGAGAGAGAGAGAGAGAGAGAGAGAGAGAGAGAGAGAGAGATAGAGAGAGAGAGAGAGAGAGAGAGAGAGAGAGAGAGAGAGAGAGAGAGAGATAGAGAGAGAGAGAGAGAGAGAGAGAGAGAGAGAGAGAGAGAGAGAGAGAGATAGACAGACAGAGACAGAGATGGAGACAGAGACAGAGAGAGGCAGACAGAAAGGTAGAAAACCTGAGATGTTTGAGTCTCTTTCAGCACAGTAGGGGTCGCAAGATTCTGTACGAGGCACAAGTACGCTCACACCTTGAGTATGCTCCACTTTCTTGGTTTGCCTGCCCCCCCTCTCATCTGCGACTGCTTGACAGAGTAGAGAACAGAGCAAGACGTCTCATCTCTCGCCTGGACCCATCCTGGATAGATCTGTCATTTCAGCAGAGCCTTCAACATAGGAGGGATGTGGGTGGCCTTACTGTTATGTACAAGGTCAATATTGTCAAAATACCACACTTGGATCCACTTCGAGGACAGCGTGAAACAAGCTTTTATGCCACAAGACGGGCAGAAAGCAGCAACTTCACTCTGGCTGTACCCTTCTCCAGAACATCACTCCATCTGAGATCATACATACCCAGGATGACTCGAGTATGGAACACATTCGTACAGCATAATGATGTCAACGAGATAAAGTCAGTTGATCAAATGAAAATGCTGGCCCACAGATGGCTCCAACTTCATCCTGTTCCCTACTTGTATGTCTCATAACAATAAAAATGCTTTCAAATGAGCTGATGTAGGTAACAGCTCTTAGCTTGCCAATAAAGTTAGGAATCCTTAACC